TGGTATAATTAAACCCGGGAAATGTGGCTTCATTAGTCCCAGTCTGGGTGATAAAATGAAGTGAAAACTAATTGGTAAAATACACACTGCGGCTGAACTAATAAAGACACGGTATGAAGAAGGACGCAGCTGCAGAGATTGACATAACATCAAAAGCGTGACAAAAATATGATGTTGTTGTGGCAGCCAGGCTATTTTTCTGTTATTGATAGAATGTTTTTAACAATGACCAAAAATCTGAGGGGGATTTATAGTACATTTTTATCCATATACCCCTGTCAAGTTATTGGCGTTTGCAAATTCACTAGCTATTGTACATTGTTCTAGTCTACATATCTATACATATTTACACAAACAACTTCTTGTTAGTCTTGTTAGGGTTTAATTTAATATTTCTTCTTAATTAATTTGGTTTTACATGTTCATAGTTCACTATTCCTGCATTATACTTGCACTATTATTTAATTTGCACAATTTTATTATCTTCATTTTTTTCCAAACTTAAATATATTGTACGATGTATTTTTGTGTGAACCTGGGACTAAGAGTTTTCAATTCTGACAATTACGCTGAAACTGTTCCATGTGACAATAAAGCCTTTGAATCATTGAATCTAGCTGGCTTCATCTATGGCATTGCTATGCTAATTGCTAGCTACATACCATTGCAAAATGTCACAACAGTCCAAAGTGTGTCTTAGAAGCTCAATAACTGTGATGGCGTGATAAATAAGTTAAAAAAGATGGTTATGTTTTTTGTTTGGGTTTCTAGTGGTCTCTCCTGTCACTGCGGAGAAACAAATCATTATTCTGCTTTGTGTGGTATTGACATAAAGAGTGACCACAGTCTGTTTTATTTTCTCTCGTTGCCTTTATAAATACATAATCTGTACGCCTGTATATTAATGCAACCCCCGCTGGTAGTCGGAGATGTTAAAATACATGGGACAATAGAGTGGTCTGACATGCACAACAACCTGTGTATGACCTGCTCTGAAATACCAAGCAGAAGCACAAACTCTCAGCCTTAGCCCCACTTGGTTCCAGTAAGTTTCCTGTCTGCTTTCATCTGCATCACAAAAAGAGGCCTGAAAAAACAGATCAAACCTTCTTTTTGGGAAAAGACAGAATTGTAGCCATTAGGCTCTGTCTTCTGTGCCTCTGCCGTCACTTTGTAGGGAAAGGCCGGAGCAAAGCTAGTTTCCATTCAACAGGGAGAGTTGGCCAAAGCCACGAGATCGAGCAGTTCCCAGCTCTTTCTTTGTATTGAGAAATACTTGAGATGCCTCGATAGTTTTTGGAAGATGGTGTGCAAAAATTCTGAACAGAACAAGATCTGTATGTTTTCCCCTGTCTCCCTCAGGTTTGACAGCATTTGAGGAAAAGTTAAAAAATGGTAAGTCTTAAATTGGGTGGAATATAGCAGCTCCTCGCCGGAGACAGGATGCCATTTCTATTCTTGTTTGTTTCCTTCTTTGCTTCGTTCTCTCTTTGCACAAACTCTTGCACAAACCATCTGCCATACAGGTCCTGTGTGACTTTACTTCAAGAACTCTTAGTGGCTGTCTTCATCAGCTCCGCTGCAGAAAAACAGCTTTAATTGGTACTGAGGGAAGAGAAGCAGAAGGGGTCGCATGCTTCACCACATTTGAAGGTAAAATGCTTTCAAATGATCAGGAATGGCATTCCACACTCCTCCTCCTCGGCAAAGACAGTTAGCGCTAACATCTCTACGTGGATCTTTTTTAATACATAATTCCTTTTGTTTAATAAAACACAGCCAGCTTATTAGGTACTCTTTAAATGAACACATGTTTAAATTAGCTCCATTAGGCAAGCTGTGAAACTACTACTGCCTTAGTTCACTTTACGGAGGAGCTCTCAGGTTCCATGCAGGTAAATCACCTTGTCAGGCTCAGATTGCTAACTGTAATATATCAAGCTGCCCTGTCAATATCCCTGAGCCTTGAATTTGCCCTCCTAAGCAGTATGCTCTGCAGCTAGAAAGATTGAAACAGCATATGTCAGAACAGTGTTCAGGATCTCGTGTTGGGCTACATGGGAAAAGGAAAGCTTACAGCCATCAGTGCAGTCTGATCCATTCCAGCAGGCAATTACGCCATTTCACCAAAGCCACTAGGAAAGCTTCACTACAATTAGGCTGACAGAAATGGCCTCTTTGACACATAAGAGGAAACCAGGGATTCCCCCCCTCCCCTCCCCAATCCCTTCTCTTCTCTTTGCACTGTCAGGGTTCTGTGCTGCTCGTGTTGTTTCAGAAGGGCTTTGAGACATTAGCTTGTGTTGTTGCTGTAGCTTTGGAGACATTTCACAGCCCATTAGATGCTCTTTCAGCCCCAACCAATACTCAAAGGCAGAGAAAGAGAGGACAGGGTGGGGTAGACACAGACTGAGGGAAAGAATGGACTGTACACTGAGCATTTCAGTGGGTGCATTTGGTGCAGGAGTGTTACATGTGAAGATTAGAACATAATACAGTGTGAGCAAAACAAGCCCTTATTGGCTTCTGTGCCAAGAGTAAATGGCAAGATGATACCATTCTCGTGTACAGTAGCCAAACTAATAGCACGTTAGCTTTCTTTAGCTTTGGACAGAGCCTATAGCTTGTTGCCCCTCTTTCCACTGTCTATGCATGGGTAAGCTAAACGGCTGCTGCTCACAGAGAGAATATTGAAATCAAATGTCTCTTTTATATTGCAGCAAGGAAGCAAAAATGTATGAATCCCAAAAGGTCAATTCCTAATTTCCCTAAGAAAGGAAGATTCAGACGCATGGAGGCATGCGGGGAATATTGAGCAAAGGAAACAGCTGGTAAGTAAATTATAATCAAATGGTCCTTTAATGGGTGTAGAATTCCTTAAATGCAGTTTATTTTAGCATTTAGAGGAATAATGATGCTGACATTTTCTTTGTGAATTGAAATGAACTGCAGCAAACTACAGTAAATCCTTGTTAATGTATCCATTTAAATGGTACAACAGATGCTAAACTGTACTGTTTATAATAAAATCCCTTTTGCCTTGATAAAAAAAAGGAAGCATGAAACACACCCAGTAGAGATCCTCGCTTAAAGCCAGTGGTCAGAATATTGTAGCCTAATCAGCAGTACATGCACCGTCTGGTTTATAGTTTGCCGATGTGCACTGCGGTTTGACCGTGACAGAGTTAAGGAGGTTTCCTGTCCAGTGGATGGGGTTGAACAATTTGCACGACTGGCAGAAAAACCATAATCAATCCGGAGACTATAGATAAGGGCCCTAAAACCAGCCAACCGCAGCGTTTTCTCTTATCGCAATTACACCTTGCCCTCCTGCCTCAGGTACAGCCAATTAAGCCGGGAGAGGATGCGGCGGCAGCCACTTCACATGTAGGAGGCCTATCAGACGACTCCAAACACACCCCATCACTGAGGAGGGGGCGGAGAGGAGCCTGGGAAGCACAGGAAGACACAGGGAGGCTGTTGTGCACTGCAGGTATGTTACTTCCACAGCCACATGTATGAAGACAGGATTCTGTTGGCGTGAATGATGTATGCTGAGGTGAGTGATGAGCGGTCTGCTGGACGGCTGCGTTTCATCATGGGACCAAGGGCACACAGACCTCCAGCACTGCGTCCTCTCACCTGCTTTTTAATCCATTCTTTGCCTTCCTCCTCTTTTTCTGGTTTGCTTTGTGGGACATCGCTCACATTATGCGACTACTATGCAGCACAGCACAGGAAAGGAGGTGTGGGAGAACTTGTGTGTTTTAATGTGAGGGTGGTTACAAAAGGCAAAGATGAGGTCAAAATCAAGGACAACCCCCCAGGATGAATACAAATATTGGCCTATTGTGTTATTCCCTGGTATGTATTCAAGTTGAACTGGAATAGAGGGAAAAGAGCCATACTGTCGCAACTTGCTAATAAAACATTGATTACAGCAGCTTCTCTGTGCCGCGGTTCACCGTCTCCCCCACCAGTAAATGGGGGTTAACCAGATACACAACTATAAAACCTAAAAGAACTTGATCTGAACCACAATATTACACTTTTCCTCCCTCTCGCCACTTTGAGGTTTCAAAAGAGCAGACACACAGCATGTGGTGTTTTGTCTACGCCGTGTGAAGCCACCACACCAATTTAGCTCAACAATTTCACCCCAAAGCAGTATCCTTCATGGAGCCGAGAGAGAGTTCAGCTAGATCACTTCTTCTCTCTGTGCCATACTGAAACTCTGATGAGACTATAGGCACACAAGACTGAGTTAAAGAAAAAGAGAGGCTGCCACCGGTGCTATCACGCTGCTTACATGGCGAACCAGATGTCTGGCCAGGGCACACACACACACACACACACGCACACACACACACACACACACACACGCAAAGGGACAGTGCAAGTGTTGCAGACAGACTATCTCTTTAAACCTGTTTGATGAAGTGATTAAAGTACTCCTCCAAGCACATGAAGCCATTAATAAAAGCATGACAGAGGGGAGCCAAATTCAAAATAAAATGGGAAGAGAGTCTGCCTCGGTGGGAGAATCCATCTCCTCTCTATTTAGACTACATGGATATGCACTAAAGCTGCAATGAGACGAAGTGAAAAGGAAACCACTTATTGGCTCCATATTGAATTCTATTGGAGTCAAAAGGGGGTAAATTGACTAAGTAGGTCGAGGCAAAATACATGCAGGGAAAAAAATATGCTATATTCAAATTCTGATTGGCCACATGGGTCTGTGGATGCTGCTTTCATAATTGCCTCCACTTGATGTTTTCTCTCTGCGTTTCAACATTGGCCGTGACACACAATGTGATGGAGAGGAAAATAGCTTCCTGGTGATTCAAATGATGTGCGCGACTCGACGCTCCCCCACTGAGACAAACATCTGAAAATGGTTCCTTCCACATTAATGCCAACAGCCAATCCGCTGTTGCCAGTCCACGCACAGACGGCTCTAAATCACGGGTGTGTGCGGTGGCGGCGGCGGTACTTACCACGTTCACTGGACAGGGTGGTATCTGTGAAGAGAGGAAGAGAAAAAGGGCAAGGGGAGGGGAGAGAGAGGAGGATGATTAGTACATAATAGGCTTCAGTAAACGTGGCATTGCAAAGACACCGTTAAACAATGGAGCAAAACAGATCAATTTCTGAGGATTAATGGGTATGCAATAGCCGGACAGTGACCTACAGTATACAGAACGCAGGGATACTATTGGAGAGAATTTGCTGTCACTACTGCCTAGTCGCTCACATTTGTCTCTGTCTATTATCAAAGGCAGCACCATTTAACCAGAATGCAGTTTGTTTTCTCCCTTATACTTCTTGTCATTGCCTCAAGCAACGGGATTCATCATTATCTTCAAACGCTTGTTGTGATGTCTATATTCCACTTGTGCTCACTCGAGAGAATTGCGGGATGTTGCATATGCATATTCAACACACTTATGTACATCGTCATGGGCGGTATTTATTCAGACCTTGACTCCACAGCTGGGTGGCAGAGAGAGGAGAGGCAGCTCTTGTCTTCTCTCTCCTGGTTGCCTGCCCTTCTCATGTCCTCCAGCAGAGTTGCTTAGTCAGACTTGATCAGAAGTCATCTCTGTGGCTCCAACTTTGCATTTACTGCTTACATTTTTTATCTAAAAGCCTTAAAGCTGATAGAGACCTAAAAAACTGAGGTTTCAGGATTTCACTTTATCATGAAAAGGTTTGTGTTAAAGGGGCATTTGAGTTTGTTTGAATGGGGTTTGTTTGTGGTACTTATCCACAGTCAGTGTTCTACTTAGTAAATTATGCTTATTTTCAGGTTCATATTTGTATGTAGTGTCTCTACTGGGACATGTCTCCATGCTTCAATGTTCAAAAAGCTCTTTATTTTTCTCATACTGCCTGTGCTGCAGCACCTCTTTTCACCCTCTGTCTGAAACCAGAGCGGTTGGTTAACCACTTAGAGATGTCCCCCCATTCAGCCTATCACATACAATGTGGGTATTGTCCACAGTAGACGACCATTACATGTATGTATGATCTGTATGTGTAATGTGTATTTGTAAAGCGCTTTGAGAGTCATTGATAAAGCGCTATAATAAATATAAGGATTATTATTATTATAATGTGTTGGAGCGCTAGCCAATAGACAATCAGTTTTACAAGTGTTAGATAGTGATGTCGTTACGAAGTAAACTAAGGAGTGCAAGGGAAGGCGTTTCAGGCAGGGAGAGAGTGTGTAAGAGAGTAACTCCCTCTGGAGGAAGTCTGGGATTTTAACATTTGCAGACAATTTACATGCACAAAAACATACAGTATAACACAGGAAAGAGAGAACCCAACAAAGCATACTAGGGCCTCTCTAAGTGTACACCATATTCATTATATTTCTACCCCTTCACGATGGACAACTAAAGCTGTCATTTTGCATGCTTTAGTCTAAGTGACCAGACTCCATCGACAAAACGAGTCATTTGGTTTAAAAGTTGAATTTTCTAGTCTACTGCTGCCTCGATCGGCCTGTTTATTTGCGTGATTTTGGTGAAACCGAACTCTCACGATAACACAAACAAGCTGCTTCATATCCCACATGTTATCACCACTTGAAAGGTGTCATGAATAGTTTCTCACACACTAGCTATGTTGGATGGAGCTGTGTTTCAGCAAACAACTATTTCCTCTTCTCGCCTGTCTCATGTTTTGCACTTGCGATCATGAAATAATGCACAACTTGAAAGGTGGAAGTAACTGTAAATGCCTGCTTTGAACATACAGTATGGACTCAAACATACACATTGTTGTATTTCAGGGTCACTCAAATATCAACCAATTGCAATATCTGTGCCGGATTGGGTTGGAGACGAGTACGGGTCAATTATAAGAGCCTGGTGTAAGGTCTTAGAAGCTTGTTTTGCAGCATTTACTGGAGGTTGATTGATTATAATAATATCAGCAAAAAGCATACCCTGTTAGAAAAGATGTATCAGCTGAATCCATTAAGTTACAGATTATTTTCTTCAAATATCTTATTTTTCAGCATGTTTATTGATTTTCTTTACAAAATTGGAGGCTCAATACAGCTCTTGGCATCTTTAGATAGTTGTTATGATCAAAATGCACAAATGCCAATAGGTTTTGCTTTTTTCCCACTCATGTCTGGCAATGAATCCATTCAAGTTTATCTTAAACTCCCTGCAACTTTTTGACATGTTTACAAAAAGCAAACACATCACTATCTAAATGAGAATTTTGCTTACAGACAGTATTTCCATTCCCCTTTCTCAATATATAAAGGCACCCCAGTCTAGCCCAACAGAACTTCGCTCCGCACATGTTCAATTATTCATCTCCCTCTGTCAAGAATTCAGCCTTGCTAGCAGTTGCCAGTATCCCCTACAACTTGGCAGGCAGGCTCATATTTGGCATATGGTGCAGAGCGGCGCTGCTTTTCCTCCTCTCTTCAGTTGGCCTGCTAGCACTCCCAAGGACACACACACACACACACACACACACACACACACACACACACACACACACACACACACACACACACACACACACACACACACACACACACACACACACACACACACACACACACACACACACACACACACACACACACACACACACACACACACACAGTCTGTTAGTCTTGCTGGGCAACACAACCTCTTTGCAACAGGTTTCCGTGTTTTCAACAATAGCACTGTAAATGCTGTATCAGCTAAATTAGGCACAATTAACAAATCACAATTACAGGCGACACAACATATTGTTATTTAATCGTCGTCTTGGTTTCAACTTGAACGAAAAACACATGGTAAAATATATTGCACTATTGTAGAATTTGTAATCGTTTGAAAAAGAGCATCAGTAGAAAAAGGAACTTTTATTATTTTGTATTTTATCGGAGACTTTTATGTTCAGTTAAATGTTCAATTTGTTCAATAACAGATAGTTGGAAATAGTTTTCTTTCATTTTGTTTTTATTCTACAAGCCATTGTTTCTAAACCAATTTGGCAGTGGGACAAAAGGAGCGGCACACAAGAATAACTGAGTACACTTTAATATCAGTGAGTTATTCTAACAAAAGTAATATCATATTGATTATTAGGTTTGACTCACTTCTATCAGATGCCAATCCATCTTCAGGTTCCATAACCACAACAATGAGTTATGATTTTTACCCCCCCGCCAAGGACGACATATTTTCATGTTGGTTTGTTTGCGTTGTCTGTTTGTCAGCAGGAAAACGGATAAGTGGCTTTGTGATAGGGTGAAGACCGGTCAGGGTAAGAACCCATTTTATTTTGGAGGATTGATCAAGAGGGCTCATCAAGAAACAGGTCAACAAATACCCAGGGTCCAGTCTAACCATCGCCGACTCCTTTTGATGTACTTCTCAATTGGTGGACCAATCGTATGCTTTAAAACAGAATGTAATGTTATCCTTTATGTAGACTGCAGGCACTCAGAGTTATGTTTAAACCGGACATATTATGCTAATTTCCAGGTTCCTTTTTATATTTAGTGTCTCTACTGTGACACGTTTCCATGCTTCAATGTTCAAAAAGCTCTTTATTTTTCTCATACTGCCTGTGCTGCAGTAACTCTTTTCACCCTCTGTCTGAAACCAGAGCCCAGTCTGCTCTGATTGGTTAGCTGGCCGACTCTGTTGTGATAAGTCAACCGCTTAAAGATTTCCCGCCCCTTAGCCTATGACGTACAATGTGTTGGAACTAGGGCTGTCAGTCGATTAAAATAGTTAATCGCGATTAATCGCAAATTAATCGCACATTTTTTATCTGTTCTAAATGTACCTTAGAGGAATATTTTTCAAGTTTTTAATACTCTTATCAACATATGAGTGGACAAATATGCTTTATGCTAATGTTTTATTATCATTTGAACAATGACAAATATTCTCATGAATATTAAACACAACAACCTCTGAACATTACAAATATTCGCCTCAATTCAACCTGGAACCTCTCTCATACAATAATACAATACAAATGGTGTGTGTGTGTGTGTGTGTGTGTCTGTGTCTGTGTCTGTGTGTGTGTGTGTGTGTGTGTGTGTGTGTGTGTGTGTGTGTGTGTGTGTGTGTGTGTGTGTGTGTGTGTGTGTGTGTGTGTGTGTGTGTGTGTGTGCGTTGGAGCTATGTGCAACTCAAGGCATATGCTTGAACCGGAGCTGCCTGGACGCTGCAATCATGTTGCCACTATCCGTGCTGAGTGTCCTGACTGTTCGTACAATGTCCCACTGTCTGGCTTCCTGCATAAAGTCAAGTGCTCGGCGCAGTTGTGGCGAAATGTCGCTCCTCTGTTTTAATTTAAACAGCTCCTTATATCGTTAGCGCAGCTAGCTAGCACCAGATGCTAACAACAACAATGCACGTAAGGTCTCTCTCTCGCTCGCTCGGGCCACACATACACACACCCTCCCGGTCCTCCCAACAGCCAGTCGGTGCCTGCCGGTGAGCGTGGAAGTGTGGTCTGCCACAAGCGGGCGGCAGGAGCGGGGCTGTCAGCATCAGCTTGTAGATGGTATTTTAAACTCGATGCGCTCTGAAACTACGGGGCGGCCGAGGGAACAAAATACACATGCGTTAATCGCGTTAAAATAATTAGTGGCGTTAATTTTTTTTTGCGTTAACGCGTTATTAACTTGACAGCCCTAGTTGGAACGCTAGCCAATAGAAGCATGATTGTTACATAGTGACGTCACTATGTATACAGTATTTGCTACTATATGCATATGTTCCCCATCCAACTGTTGCAGCTGGATCAACTGATTCATAGAGCATTAGCGAGTAGATAATTTACACATGCAAGCACAGTTATAATTATGACACCGTACACATTTTTCACATGAGTACTGCACTGACTATAAGGGTAGATAATACATACCATGTAAGCCCTCCTGAGAAATTGGTTCTAACAATTTCCCTTTTCTCCAAAAGAATAGTAAATCAGCAGCACTGAAACAAGTCCCCTGCCGGTCACATGGATGGTCTCGTGCTGC